TTGGAGAAAAGCGATTGATAAAAATCTCTCATGTGAATACCTCAACCCAATAAAAGATATAGGTGGCAAGAATATTGTCCACATCACACTAAATGAGGAAAACTGCAATTATGAAATTATTCCCTCAAAAGAAAGAATATATAAGCATAACCAAGGAGATGGAGTATCTCTACAATGAAAACTATTATAATAAAAATAAATAAATGAAACGCACAAGTATATACATACATATATACTTCTTTTTTTATTTTACCTAGATAGACTTCTCTATGCTATATGAATCCAAAGTAATGGCACAACCCTGACTCCCTAGAGTATGTAGATGCATCATTTAACAGTCAGGAGAGACATTAAAAGTCTGTGCTGTGTGCCATGTAGAGAAAAGAATGTTAGGATAAAAAGGAACTTCTCAGCCCTATACAGAAGAAAAAAATACCTGTACATCTACAAACAATACCAGTAATGCATCCAATTTAGTTGAGGTTTTTCTGATTCAGATCCAAAAACTAAGCAGGATTATATCTTCAATTGCTAGGAAACATTCTTGAATTCAAGCTCACTGAGAATGGAACCTGAGTCCTGCTTCCTCACCATGGTTGCAGCAGCAGGAAGAAGAGAAGCAAGTCTGAAACTAAATGTCCAAAGTACTTGTCAATTCCTAAGGCTGATCTTGCTCAGGGAGAGCTGGTTTGGTGACTTAGTTTCCCTGCACTGCCATGGAGAACACAGATACCTTGCGCTGGTAGATAAATTTATGGAATAGTTTTAAAGTCAGGAAGTCTAGAGTGTATTCTCTTTTAGGCTCTCTTCCTGACTGTTCACTTTCTTGTAATGCCCTCACAAAGACTTTGATATCTGTGACAGAGACAGAGAAAGAGCCATGCAGTGCCACATCTCCTCAAGACACTAGCACTACAGGACTTGCTACAGTCTCAGGGACCTCACATCACCTCACTCACTTGTCACAGACTTCTCCAAGGACAATAGCTCAGGGGACATGAATCAATCCTTGAAAGATGGTCTTTGCTGATAAATGAGGCAGGAAATAGAGGCAAAGCCAAGCTTCCAGTCTCTAAATTCCAAAAACAGAAGACTTTCCCCCACAATTCAGCCTGCTTACAGCTCCTTCTGAGTGTCCCTATTCCTAGTCAAATATCCAAGCCTGGAGACTGTTGATGATTGAAACATTAACTCTGTGGTTTCCCTAGATTACTAAACTAGATAGCTCTTAACATATTTTGTGGGGTTTCGCTACCATCTTGTGGTATTATTCTAACATTACATGCTTTAGAACCAGGATTCTATTTCTTTATTTTTAGTAATTTTTAATTTTACTTTCTTATAAAGATGCTGTCCAAAGGGGTTACATTTACATGAGTAAGGTAATGAGTACATTTCTTGTCAAGCGTTGTTACTCCCTCCTTTGTTGTTCTCCCACAATCCCTTCCCTCCCCTACCTCCTTCACACTTTCCCCCCAAAGTTGTAAAGTTTATTTCCAATATAGAGTCTTTTGGTTATCATCGTTGCAAAGGGTCATTCTGTGTCCTTGTTTCAGCATTTTGTTATTCCCTTTCGCCTCCCCAAATTAGACAAATGTATATACAAGATTCATGGTAATAAAATCAGTACAGTGAAAGCAGGGGATATACCATGGGGGAAGAACGTACAAAAGAAACAAAAAAATCAAACATTACATTAAAAACAACAACAAAGAAAGTTCTCTGTGTCCATATCTTAGGATGCATGTTTCCCTCATTTGCAATAATTAGTATATATCTAGGACAATTTTATCTAAAAAGCAGAGAAGCTCAAAAACTATGTACATATGACCATCTAAGATGATGCTAAGCTAAATGAACTCCAGGATTCTTTTTTCAGGTAGAGTTATAAACTCTTAACATTTCTAAGGATTAAATTCAGATAAGATGGTAGCTTTGTGTGTGTGTGTGTGTGTGTGTGTGTGTGTGTGTGTGTTTGTGTGTGTGTGTGTGTGTCAGTGGTTTGCCAGTGATAACTTGAAGAATAAGAGCTAGTAAGTCTATCTTCACAGGTGAAGATAGAGAAACAGGAGGCAAAAGCTGCACAGAGATCCCCAAATCTCTCCATGACAAACCCTGGTATTTTACTGACTGCATGTGGAGGGCTGAGTGGTGAAGAAAAATTTATCACTATTTGTTGCATGATATGCCACAGGTGTGGAGAACCAGTGGCTCACCTTTTGCTTATGTGAATTGAGTACTGATGGCTTGCAAGGTAGCTAATGTTGGCTTTGTGGACTCTGGTGGGAAAGTATTATAATTAAAAGAAAAAGGAGCCTGATGCTCTCCCTGTGGATTTGTCACTGTTCTTAGTCACAGTTGTCAATTGCGCTCAGCACAAGATGATTTATCTTAGGATATGGATTTGTTCACAAACCATTGAGAAGTTTTGAGGCAGAAGTTCTGGAAACCTTTCCAAGAGTGGAGTTGAAGATGGAGCCAGTAGGATGAACCCTGGCTAATGGGATTCTCTATTCAGTGATCTCTTGCAGAGAAGAGCTGTCCCTTTCTTCCTGCTCTGAGACTATAGCACCCAGGAGAATCCTCCTCTTGGCCTGCTGCTCTCTTGTGCTGTTTACATCCACATCTCACACTACTGATGATAAATCCAGTCTGTGAGTTCATGGACTGGTTCATGTTTAGTGACTTTGTTTCACTAATACATATATTCCCACATTTAAACTCTGACTTTAAAAAAATCTACCTCAACATATTATTCCCACTACAAATAATAGCCATTTCTCTCAATTTAGTGCTGGGGACTCCAAATGCTTCTGGTGCCTAATTCATCTTCCATCATTGGTTAGAAAGTAAGCTAGGGCCTAAGTTATGAAGATGTGTTACTTAGCTTTCCGTTGTTGTGGCTAAGACCTCAGTAAAAGCAATATAAAAGACAGAGTACTTGATTGCAACTCTTAGATCATAAAGTCTATTCTACCATGTGGGCAGAGTTTGGTGAAGCTCACAACATGGCACCCAAGAAACAGAGGATATGTTCTACTTGGTGGCTACATCTTCCTTTCCCTTTCATTTGATGAGAATTCAGTCCTTTGGAAGGGGCTGTGTGTAATAGGGTGGGTCTTCTCTCTTAGTCAATTCTCTCTCGAGAAGGTCTCACAGCCAGGTGCAGAAGTATATTTGTTCATCTCCAAGCAATCCAACCAAGAGAACCATCATAAAAGATCATCAGATTTTTTTCTGTTTCCTTAAAATTTCAAAGAAAATAATGAGTATAGAAAGAAGAGTATTGAGCCATATATACATGGTTTCCTCAAAGTCTACATGCTGTGTGTTCTTATATGTCTTTCTTTTTTCATTGTAAAAATATTGTACAGAGAGGTTACATTTATATGAGCAAGATAATGAGTACATTTCTTATCAAGCATTGTAGCCTCCTCGTTTGTTTCCCCTTCCCATCCCTTTTCATCCTCCCTCCCTCCCCCCTCCGCCAAATCCTCCCTCCCTTCCCCCGCACCAAAGTTGTAAAGTTCGTTTTGGGCATATCCACTTGTACATCTCATTGTTGCAATAGGTCCACGTGAATCCCTATTTAAACGATTTATTTTTCCCCTTCCCCTCCACAAATTATATCGATATCAAATACAGTGAAAACAGGGCTTATACTGTGGGGGAGGGACATACAAAGCAACAAAGAAATAATCTTATAAATGTGTTAGAAGAAATTGCATGGAAAAAAATACATTTAAATACATATCTTAGGTTTCATTTCCCTAACTTACATGTCTTTCTTTAAGATAGTCTCTGCAAAGGATAAACTATGTTTCATTGGATCCCTGATAATTTCTCTGTCTATGTATTGTAGCTGCATGTAGCTGTTTATGCAGCCACATTTGGACATTGATATGTTTATATGTACAAGTCTATATGTACATATAGATGTATATATGCACACAATAAATATATAAATCTAGGCACATGTTTTATAGATGACACACATAAACACATACCAATAAATGTATATGTATGCCTATTTGTTAACTGCGAATTACTCATATTTGATAAATCTGTACTACCTATTAAAATATCCATTAGAGGAGGACCAGAGGAAACAGACATGGAATAAAGCATTATACAGCATCAAACTTCAATTTGTAGCTTTGTTTAAAAAAAAATGGGCCTGTACCAAGGAGAACCCTGTTTTCATTGTCTTTGATGTTGGTATAATTTGGGGAGGGGAAGGGAAAAATAATGGTTTAAATAGGGATACAGGTGGACCCATTGCAACAATGAGATATACAAGACATTATGTCAAAAAATGAACTCTACAATTCTGGGGGGGGGGGCTGAGGGGTAGAAGGGAGGGTAAGGATGAGAAGGGGAAACAAGGGATGAGGCAACAATGCTTGATAACAAATGTTCTCATTACCTTGCTAATGTAATTGTTAACTCCTCTGTATGGTATTTTCACAATCAAAAAGTCACACTAATGGGAATTTCAAAATCATGGGTTGATGAAGCAACAAGGTTTTAACATCTGAATCATATAATTAATTTGCTTTATATTTAACAAACATATTCTATTTATTTGGTGATATTCAGTAACATTCCTATTAAATAAAATCTTTCTCAATTTTAAGCCTAGCTTTGTGATTCATTCTTCAATTGCTAGCTACCAATGTTTCTTGAGTTATTCTGCAAGAGATTTGACTTTAATTCTCTCCAAACTATAGAAATGGCATGATGCTGGGAGATGATTTTGTCTTTTTCTTTCACATTTGGTTATAAGTGAAAATTGACTTCTGCAGCAACATTATAAATCCTGTTCTGGGAGTCCCTGGAAGCTGAAGTAATCCAAGATCCCACGTGGACAAGGTCTCTAGTATGACATCTTCTGTCAAGTCCTCCAAACTCAGACTACTGCTTCAGTTCAGAGAATGTGCTATGCTGCTCCCCAGACAAGCTTTGAAATAGGACAGCTGGGCCAAATCCTACAGAGCTGTTTATGTTAAGGACTGTATCACTGTGGGAGGAGTATAATCTTGCATGCAGTAATAAACGCCAATATCCTCAGCCTCCACCCTGCTGATTTGCAGTGTGAAATCTGTGCCTGACCCACTGCCACTGAATCTGTCTGGGACCCCAGAAGGTCGTTTGGAAGCCCAATAGATCAATCTCTGTGGTGACTGGCCAGGCTTCTGAAGGAGCCAATACAGAAGGCTATCTCCATCGCTATTTATGAGGCTCTGACTTGACCTGCAGGAGATCTCTCCCAGGGTGACAGCCAGGGCGAGTGGAGTCTGAGTCATTATAATATCGCCACTGGACCCTGAAATTAATATAAATGAAAAGTACAAGGTTATATGTGGTATATAATTTTTTCTGTGGTTATATATTAATTCCCAATCCTTTTCATGGTTTCTCTTCTATCCTAAAACCATTCAATATTTCAAAACATATACAAATATTAAAAAGCATAAATGAGGTTCTAGTTCTCATGTATACTACCCACTGCACAGTTGTCATAGTTGTCACCAAAGCTCAGGACCTGGTTCCATCTAGAATGTCCATCACTCTCATATAATTAACTTCACCTTCTTCATTCATTCTAGAGGACAAATTCTGTGCATCTAACTCAAGAACAGAATACAAACAAGAAGTAGTGACCCTGAGGGCTCACCCTCAACCCCCTTTTCCATCCTCATCTCCCTCTGCTCTTAGGAGCATTAGGAGCATTAGGAGACCCAGAACACAAGAACAGAGCGAGCCTCATTTTAGCTGGGAATCAAGGAGATTTGATCAGTGAAGCCAAGGTCAAGATGAGCCTTTATGTCAAACTAGGGCTGGACAGTCCTCCTTGGGGAGCACTATGCAAATCAGCAGGTGGGTGCAGCAGTATGAGAAGAAAAAAGCAGAGGGCAAGGGCATCTCTCTGGTGAAGAAAGTGACTTAAATTTCTTGTGTGTTTGGAGAAAAGACCCACAAATACCAGGCTGGCTCCAGCAGTGGGTAGAAGGTCTCCTCTCCCCTGATGCCTGGATCTGCGGGGAGGATGTGGTGTACTAGACCCTGCAACTTGAAACACTAGAGGCCCAATTCAATTGAAATGTGTGTCCAGGGGAGTCTTGGTGAAGGGTTAGTTTGATTGGCCCTCTTCTAGTTATTCTAGAGAAAGATACTGTGCACAGACTTCATTTGCCATTGTTTCTCATGACTTCTATCCAATACTACAGTGGTCTGATCTAGGTAAGGAAATCAAATACATACTCGAGTTAATCTGACATCACTGAAACAAAGTTAACTTTTGATTAGAAAGTTATCAACAACTGTTAGAGATGGTCTTCATAAGACAGACTCTGGTGGCTTATGTCTGTAATCCTAGCTACTCTTCAGGCTGAGTTCTGAGGACATGGTTCAAAGCCAGTCCAGGCTAAAATTTCCCCTTGTGACTCTTATCTCCAATTAATCATTCATAAATTGGAAGTGGTGCTGTAGCTGAAAGTGGTAGAGTGTTTTCCTTGGGCAAAAGGGCTCAGGATCAGCGCCCAGGTCCTGAGTTCAATCCCTACAAGTGATAAAAAAAAAATAATAAGGTTCTTCATAGGGGGCCTAACAAATTAAGTTCCTTATGATCACTTATATCAAAACAAAATAACCCAGAGGAAAAAATTCTCCTTAAGTAATAACATTTCTTAATGAAAGAGAAAAATGTCAGAGAAAACTAAATTTTACACAGTCATTTTCACAATCAATAAATATGGGATGACACTCCTTCAGCATAACTCTTCAGACTAATAGCAGCATTCTTTATATTTCTCTCTCCTATAAGACAGTAGGAACAAGAACACCAGTTACATTCAGTTAGGTAGTAAGACCATTGCAACATCTATTTTTAATTTTTCTACAGAATCTGCTCCTGGAAAAGTTATTAACTCTGTATTAGACCCTCCTTTTCCTGCCTGCATTCCATGTGGGCAGCCGCAGCCAGGATTCTACAACTCATAGCAGGACCCAGCAAGAGCTGTGTTCATGTCTCAGTATAACAAACACTCAAGATTAAGTCTTCTCTTAAGGTTCATCAGAATCTACTAAGTAACTGAATGCTGGTTCAGAGTTGTACAGAGGAATTCATACTCCACTTACCCCATCGAGAGCCTGAAGAACATACATATCTGTTGCAATTGGCCACTGATTGTGACATTTTCTTATGGGTTACACAAAAAGTTTCGTCTATTAAGATTATTATAGGAATTTTTATTGTGATTAAGTGATTACATAAATTTCACATATTTCACAGGATTGTTATAGTCACAAAGTAAGTGATACTTATAGTCACAAACCCATTCTAACCTTCATGGGGCAAATTATCTTTATTGTGGCTTATAAAGTTTGTTAATTCTATGGGCTTTGACAATACAGTTATTTCTTCCACATGGGGTGATATATACATTTCTTTCCTTTTGCTTAGTGTCAGCTGTTCCCTCTTTCCTGCTCATTCCTTCCATTGCTTCCATTGAGTTGCTTAGTTTGTTATGATCAATGTCCAGTGCAGCTGATAGGTCCCACTGTTGTATGTTGTCCCCTGTTTGCCTCTGTCTCTCTGTCCTCCTCCTGGTTTCCCTCTGATGTGCACATATATACCATATATGTGGTATACATTATTTTTTAAATAAGTTTATTGGGAAAATACCATACATTTCTTATCAAGCATTGTTGCCTCCTCCTTTGTTTTCCCTTCCCATTCCTTCCCATCTTCCCCCCACGTTTTCCCATCCTCCCTACCCCAAAAACCCCCAGCACCAATGTTGTAAACTTCATTTTTCTACATAATGTTTTGTACATCTCATTATTGCAATGTGTCCACCTATATCCCTATTTAAACAATTTCTTTTCTTCCTCTCTTTTTTTATTGTGAAAATACTGTACAGAGGGATTACAATTACATGGGAAAGATAATGAGTACATTTCTTATCAAGCATTGTAGCCTCCTCCTTCGTTTCCCCTTCGCATCCCTTCCCATCCTCCCCCCGTCCCACCACCCCATCCTCCTCCCTCCGCTCCCCCAAAGGTGTAAAGTTTGTTTTCTACATAACGACTTGTACATCTCATTGTTGAAATGGGTCCACTTGTATCCTTATTTAAATGATTTGTTTTTTCCCTTTCCCTCCCCAAATTATACCAACATCAAATACAGTGAAACCAGGGGTTATACCGTGGGGGAGGGACATACAAAGCAACAAAGATATCATCTTAAAATTATGTTATTTGTAAATTATTTCTTTTATTCTTTTGGTGCTTGCTTATGCAAAAAAAATGAGCAAACTCTTTGAGATACCATTACTGGAATTAAATGCCAGTTACATGGAAGGGGAGATGACTAACACAGGTAAATTCCCAATTGGTTGTAACTTCAATCCTGTATATGAGTTACAAATGATACAGCTCAAAAAAATACTGAAATCTTATGCTTTGATTCCCCCTTACCCCCGGCACCTAAGGATGTGCAACCATAAGAAGACTCATATATGACTAAATTTTTGTGCATTGTTATACTTTGTGTGTGTTTGTGTGTTTGTGTGTGTGTGTGTGTGTGTGAGTCTTTGGACTTTGACTCAGTGTCTGATCTATGGCCCTGAGCTTTAGTACTCAAGGTCAGCACTCTTCCACCTGAGCCACATCTCCATTTCTGCACTTTTGTTGGTTAACTGGAGGAAAGAGTCTCTTGCACTTTCCTTTCCTGGGCTGCCTTTGAACTGGGATCAGCAGATCTCAGCATTCTGTGTAGGTAGGTTTTCAGGCATGAGCCACCTGCACTGGCCTCTTGTAGATACATAAGCCTTGTAGAACACCGGGATTTGAATTAATATCTCTCAAAACAGGACAATGTATACCTTCAGGAACCATAGTTCCATGACACACAACGGGCATGGAAGGGTTTCATTCTCAGGATTGGAACATTGTGAAGTTGCTGATCAGTCTTGCTGGCCATTTGTCCTCAACTACATACCAGGTGATGGTCTGCTCTTCTCAGGTGTGTGCAGTTGTAGAGGCTCAGTAGTGGTCATTGCTCTTGGCAATTTGGATACAGAGAAGCACCAAAAAATATAAAAAGATAATAAGTTTAAATGTTGCCATGGATTAGAGAAAAGTGATTGTTAAAAATCTCTCAAGTGGCTATGGATAGAAAAAAATTATCTCAACCCAATAAAAGATATGTGGCAAAACTATTGTCAACATCATACTAAATGGGGAAAACTGAAATTATAAAATTATTTCCTCAAAAAAAGAATATATAAGTGTAACCAAGGACATGAAGCATCTCTACAATCAAATGCACAAATGTATACATACATATAGTTCTTTGTTTTACCTACATGGACTTCTCTTTGCTTTGTGAATCCAAAGTAATGGCAAAACCCTGACTCCCAGAATATGTAGATATGTCATTTACAAGTCAGGAGAGGCATTAAAAGTCTGTGCTGAGGGCAATGTACAGAAAAGAATGTTAGGATAAATAAGTTCTTCTCAGTGCCTTACAGAAGAAAAAAATACATGTACATCTACAAACAATACCAGTAATGCATCTCATTTAGTTGATGTTTTTCTGATTCTGATCCAAAAACTAAGCAGGCTTAAACCTTCAACTGCTAGGAAACTTTCTTGAATTCAAGCTCACTGAGAATGGAACCTGAGTCCTGCTTCCTCACCATGGTTGCAGCAGCAGGAAGAAGAGAAGCAAGTCTGCAACTACATGTCCAAACTACATGTCAATTCCTAAGACTGATCCTGCTCAGGAAAAGCTGGTTTGGTGACTTAATTTCCCTGCACTGCCATGGAGAACACAGATACCTTGAGCTGGTAGACAAATTTATGGAATAGTTTTAAAATCAAAGTTCTGGAAGCCAGGAAGTCTAGAGTGTCATCTGTTTTAGACTCTCTTCCTGACTGTTCACTTTCTTGTAATGTCCTCACAAAGACTTTGATGTCTGTGACAGAGACAGACAGAGTCATCTAGTGCCACATCTCCTCAAGACACTAGCACTACAGGACTTGCTACTGTCTCAGGGACCTCACATCACCTCACTCACTTGTTACAGACTTCTCCAAGGACACATATCTCAGGGGACATGAATCAATCCTTGAAAGGTGGCCTTTCTTGATAAATGAGGCAGGAAATAGAGGCAAAGCCAAGCTTCCAGTCTCTAAATTCCCAAGACAGAAGACTTTCCCCCACAATTCAGCCTGCTGACAGCTCCTTCTGAGTGTCTCTGGTCCTAGTCAAATACGCAAGCCTGGAGACTCTTTGTTGATGATAAAACACTAACTCTATGGTTTCCGTAGTTTACTAAGCTAGATAGGTTTTTCATATATATTATAGGATTTCGCTACCATCTAGTGGTATTATTCTAACATTACATATTTTGAAAACAGGATTCTATTTTTTTTTGTTAATTAAGTTTTTATTTTACTTCATTGCAAAGATGCTGTCCGAAGGGTTACACTTACATGAGTAAGGTAATGAGTACATTTCTTGTCAAGCATTCTTACTCCCACCTTTGTTGTTCTCCCACTATTCCTTACTTTCCCTACCTGGTTCTCCTCCCCCTCAAAGTAGTATAGTTCATTTCCAATGTAGAATCTTGTGGGTATCATCGTTGCAATGGGTCATCCTGTGTCCTTGTTTCAACATTTTGTTATTCCCTTTCCCCTCCCCAAATTAGAAAAATGTATATACAAGATTCTATACAAGGGCTGGGAAAGTGGCTCAATGGTAGAGCGCTTGCCTTGCATGAATGAGGCCCTGGGTTTGATTCCTCAGCACCACATAAACAAAAAGAAAAAAGCCGGAATTGGAGCTGTGGCTCAAGTGGTAGAGTGCTAGCCTTGAGCCGAAGAGCTGAGGGACAGCACCCAGGCCCAGAGTTCAGGCCCCACAACTGGACCCCTCCCCCCAAAAAAAGGGAAAAAAAAGAAAGTTCCCATACAATAATTTTTTGTTTTTTTTTTTGGGTCCAGTCGTGGGGCCTGAACTCTGGGACTGGGCGCTGTCCCTCAGCTCTTCAGCTCAAGGCTAGTGCTCTACCACTTGAGCCACAGCACCACTTCCGGCTTTTTTCTTTTTTTTGCTTATGTGGTGCTGAGGAATCGAACCCAGGGCCTCATGCATGCAAGGCAAGCACTCTACCACTGAGCCACCTTCCCAGCCCCCATACAATAATTTTGACAAATTTTTACCGTTCTGCTATTTTGAACAGGACAGAATTATTTTAGGGTCACAAGCAGGGAATTCCCCTGTGACTTGTCTCCTCTACAGGCATGGAACCCCTATTTGCAATCTGTTGATCATACTGGAAGCAAATTTTTGCTTGTTAGGACTATCAAATTTTTGGCCGATGTACTGAGGATGTTTTTCCAGAAAACATAAATTCACACATAGAAATTAGATAGTCACAGCTGTTTGAATTGGCATTAGTAATAATATTTTTATTCTTGATGTGAAATAGCTCTATATAAAACAGAATGAAAAACAGTTTGTAACAGAAGAGACATGAGTATATCACCTAGAATCTGGATATCGTTAGTAAACTCTAGGGGATTTTCTCATAGCTTTCAGACTTTTCATAAACATAAATAATAGAAACCAAATGACATGGTTTATACCTATCATCCTAGCTACTCTGAAAATGGACATGTGGATAGTGGGAGTTCAAAGTCAAACTGGAAAACATATGAGACCTCCATATCAATCAATAAAAGCTGGGTGTGCCAATGTGTGGCTTGTCATCATACCTGTGTTGGACATCCAACTAGGAAGTTCACTATCCAGGTACTCTAGGAATAAACAAATGCAAGACTCTATCTCAAAAACAACCAAAGCATGCTGGATGTGGCATGATTCAAGGGGTAAGGTGCCTGCCTGGCAAATGCAAGACTTTGAATTCAAACCCAAGCACCTACCAAAAAATTAAAAGTAAATAATATGAAATAATTCTCTAGATAACTACTCAGTGTAATTATCTTATGTATTCTCCAAATAATCTCGTAGTGAAGGCAGAGAATTGAATAAGCCAGATCAATATAATACTGCAAAATCATAGAGTGGCCCAGAGGTCAGCTTTAAGATCATTCAATGTCTGGATCATACTGTTCTTAGAGCCACAATCTTATGGGGGGGGGGGAAACGAAAGTATAAGTACAATG